CAATTGATAATAGATCTATCTTAAAGAAGAAACTCACAGATGCTATATCAGGAAGACTGAAAGAAAGATAGCAGCAATACAAAGAAGTAGACTGTCATGTTAAGAAATTGGTGAGAGCTGATAAGAGAGCTCATATAGAGGAACTAGCAGCACAAGCTGAAGAAGCAGCTACTTGAGGAGAGCAAGGAAAGGTTTTTAAAATCATCAAGCTTGTTTGCGGTAAATATCATGCCAGTATAAGTGTCCATGTCATGGACAAACAAGGAAATCTACTTACAACAGAGAGGGAACAAAAGGCTCGTTGGGCAGAATATTTTCAGGAACTTCTAAACAGGCCACCACTAGAAGAAGCTGATATTCTAGAAGCAGAAACAGACCTTGACATAAATACTGCTCCACCAAAAATGGAAGAAATTATTGTGGCAATAAGATCCTTAAAGAATGGGGAAGCTCCAGGATACGATAATCTCAATGCTGAATTGTTCAAGGCAGACCCAGAACTTGCAGCCACTATTCTCCAACTGTTCTTTACAGCAATATGGGAAGGGAAGCATGTGCCAGAGGAATGGACAAATGGAATTATTTTTAAGATACCCAAGAAGGGAACACTCAATGACTGTAACAATGGGCGCAGCATCACTCTCCTCTCAGTGCCAAGCAAGATCCTTCCTAAGCTCATTATTCAGCGGATTGTAGACGCTGTTGATAAATCACTGAGGAAAGAACAAGCTGGCTTTCGTAAAAAAAGGGGGTGTGTAGATCAAATTTTTGTACTGAGTAACATAATTGAGCAATGCATTGAATGGCAGAGGCAGTTGTTCATCAACTTTATTGGTTTTGGAAAAGCCTTTGACAGCATTCATAGGGATAGTCTTTGAGAGCTTCTGAGAGCATATGGAATACCAAAGTAGTACAGCTCATTAAGAGTATTACCCCAGAGACTCAGGTAAGCAAATAATCTATGGTCTGACTAAGTTAAAGTGTCTCTGCACAGAAGCCAGATACGGCCTGGTGTTCCTGTATCTTATCACCAGTGGGATATTTGCTCAAAGAAAAATCAGGCTACTCAGGTTTAGGGCCAAACCATGTATTTTGAAGTAAAATAGCACAAACATGGAAGTTAAGAACAGTAAACAACCTATCCTATCCCAAGAAGAAAAGATAGAAAGAATCCCAATACAAAAGGGTCTATTTCACAGAGGAATGTGGCGATTGGTGCCTTCGACCTTCTACCTCATGGCTAGCGTAAAGCCGTGAGGGAGGACAAGCAGGGAGATCCCTCGAGGCGGTGCCGTGTCCTCTCCGATTGGAACAGGAACACTGAAGGGATCCTCGATCACCTCGTGGAATGGCTCCTATGGATCCAGTCCTGATGGGTCCTTCGATCACACCAGCAAGTCTAAAAGTGGATTGGAATAGCTTGTAAAACAGTCCAAGTCCACGGCTATTGCCAAATATCCGGAATGTGGGGTGTTCCCACATGTACAGTGGCAAAACAAAACCAAGGCCTTAAACTACCAAAATCTCCAAACCATAAACCACGGATGGTAAATGAGAAATGTCACAGGGAAAATTGAACAGGCACATGGACAAACAGAGAGAGTGACGAACCCGAGTTCTTCTCTGACCCAAGCTTTTATACCCTCTAAGGTAGGAAAAATATGGTAATGATTGGGGTCATGTGCAGCTCAAGGAGCAGACTAAGTGCACCATATTAGGGATGTGTGCAGAGGTGTTAGAGTGGAGTGCAGCGTTTTGAGCAGAGTACACACAGATTAGAGAAGGGTGAAATGGCAGGGTGATTTGCCTAAAGCTACAGCTTGGTGCACAACTGCTTCTGAGGTAAAAAGCATTCCTATACAAGATGGAAGTCTAGTGGAATCCATTTTGTATGTGCTGACAGCCTGTTTCAGGGCAACAAGAGCTTTTATAACAATTTCACACATGCAGCATGGGGAACAATGATCTACACTTCGAAGTTAAGACTGGAGTAAGGCAGAGATACGTAATGTCTCCAATGCTCTTTAAGTTAGTCTTTAGGGGTATGTCTACACTACCCTCCTAGTTTGAACTAGGAGGGTAATGTAGGCATACCGCACTTGCAAATGAAGCCTGGGATTTGAATTTCCCGGGCTTCATTTGCATAAGCTGGGCGCCGCCATTTTTAAATGTCCGCTAGTCCGAACTACTTAGTCCATGCCGCGTGTAGCCGCACGGCACAGAGTCCGCACTAGCGGACATTTAAAAATGGCGGCGCCCGGCTTATGCAAACGAAGCCCGGGAAATTCAAATCCCGGGCTTCATTTGCAAGTGCGGTATGCCTACATTACCACCCTAGTTCGAACTAGGGTGGTAATGTAGGCATACCGCACTTGCAAATGAAGCCTGGGATTTGAATTTCCCGGGCTTCATTTGCATAAGCTGGGCGCCGCCATTTTTAAATGTCCGCTAGTCCGAACTACTTAGTCCATGCCGCGTGTAGCCGCACGGCACAGAGTCCGCACTAGCGGACATTTAAAAATGGCGGCGCCCGGCTTATGCAAACGAAGCCCGGGAAATTCAAATCCCGGGCTTCATTTGCAAGTGCGGTATGCCTACATTACCACCCTAGTTCGAACTAGGGTGGTAATGTAGGCATACCGCACTTGCAAATGAAGCCTGGGATTTGAATTTCCCGGGCTTCATTTGCAAGTGCGGTATGCCTACATTACCACCCTAGTTCGAACTAGGGTGGTAGTGTAGACATACCCTAACTGAGTTATGCGGCGTACAACAGAAGATGATCCAAGCGGCATCAGATAGACTGTCTTCTCCACATTAGAGGACCTTGATTTTGCTGATGACCTCATGCTGCTTCGTCATATGCAAGAGAAGACAAATTGACTCTGCACCTTCGGAAAACAGGTCAGACTAAGAGTTAGCCAGAAGGAGACAGAAGTCATGACCCTAAATATTGAGGCACCAGCATCAGTTAAGATTGATGGCCATGACCTATCTATCTCAGAGAGCTTTACATACTTGGGTAGTATTATCAGGCAAGACGGAGGCGTCAGAAGTGATATCCAGAGCAAGACACAAGAAGTCATTCTTCTGTTCTACTCTGCGCTGATTAGGCCTCACTTGGAGTACTGTGTCCAGTTCTGGGCACCACATTTAAATAAAGGTGTGGAGATATTGGAGACGGTCCAGAGAAGAGCAACAAGAATTATGAAAGGTCTAGAGCAGCGTTTCCCAAACTGTGGTCTGCAGCCCTGTATTGGTTCTTAGGAAAAAAATACCGGGTTTCAGAAATTTTTTTGTGAGAGCCCACCTTGCTGCCCACAACCTCGATGATGAACACCGCACTGAACTCCCAGTGTCAACAGAGGTAGCGCAGGCTTCCTGCGGGATCAGGGGGCAGTTCTGCAGCTGCGCGCCAGATCCCAGAAGTGTGGGGGCTGCTCTCCCCGCTGCCCCAACAGCCGGCGCAGTACCTAAAATGCCGGTCCATCATGCACTGGGGACTTTGTTCCCCTGATGCCTTCCTGCATGCGGCGGAGTGGGTGTGGATCCGGGACTACGCCAGCTCCAGCTGCTTGGGCAGCACATGCTGCCGTGGGGAGCGGAGGAGCAAGGCTCACACTGCCCGAGCAGTTGGGGCTCGTGTGGTTCCTCCCCCTGTGCAGGAAGATATCAGCCATGCAATGAACCAGCGTGTCAGGTACCATGCCACTGTTTGGGGGACAGGGGAGCAGCGTGCACACTTCCTGGGCCTTGGCAGCTACAGGATCCCCAGGTATCAGTCCCTGTCCCCTCTCTACCCCTCCAACCTCCACAAGTACCCTGCCCCATCACCCACAAGCACCCTGTCCCTTGCCCCAGCACTCGGAAGCACCCTGTCCCCTGCCCCAGCACTCATTGGTACCCTTCCTCAGAACTCTGTCCCAGCACCCACAAGCACAGTTGGGGCCACATTAGTGAAGTTTGAGGGGTTTGGAGGGGTCGTGTTTTTGTATCTCACTTGTGTGGCCCCGACTGACTTTTCTGTTGGCACAGGGGGCTTTGGGAGGATCAGAAACAAGTTATTTGCATATTCGTCATTTGCTTAATGAATATGCAAATATGCAAATAAATGTTACCGGTCCTCCAAAAGCTTGTGAATTGATTTACTGGTCCCCAGTATCAAAAAGTTTGGGAACCCCTTGTCTAGAGAACATGAGCTATGAGGAAGACTGAAAGAATTGGGCTTGTTTAGTTTAGAAAGGAGAACACTGAGAAGGGACATGATAGCAGTTTTCAGGTGGCACAAGGAGGAGCAAGAAAATTTGTTCTCCTTGGCCTCTGAGGATAGGATAAGAAGCAGTGGGCTTAAACTTCAGCAAGGGAGGTTTAGGTTGGACATTAGGAAATACTTCCTAAGTGTCAGGGTGGTTAAACACTGGAATAAGTTGCCTAGGGAGGTTGTGGAATCTCCATCTCTGGAGATATTTAAGAGCAGGTTAGATAGACATCTATCAGGGATGGTCTAGATGGTACTGGGTCCTGTCATGGGGGCAGGGGACTAGACTCGATGACCTCTTGAAGTCCCTTCCAGTGTTCTATGATTCTATCTATGATTTTAAGATGAATAGAATTAATTTGTTCCTCTGATTACAAAGTGAATTTCCAGCACAACTGAGATCACTTCCAACAATGAGTATGAAAAATGTTCCTAACATGCATAGCTTATCATGTTCCACCTGGGACTAATCAATTAATTTTTGTCAAGGTCCAAGTTTCTTAGTCAAGGCATTGTCAAGATCCAGCCTCCAGAGAAAATAAAAATAATAATGAAGAAATGAAAATATTTTGGGGTGCATTCAAAAGCACTTAGTGATCTGGATTTGGCCCACAATCTGCCTATTTACTACCTCTGCACATAATATCCATTTACTTTAAGTTCATGTAAAATAAGTGGATATTACTTTATGTGAACCCTTATACAACAATTAATCTAATACAAGATGTCTCTCAGTCTGAACCTTATATATTGGATGTTCTTTGCCTTCAGCTGCCTGATCTTTGAGATCTTCATCAGTTACTCCACATCTACTGAGTGGGTCTTCATCATTTGCCATTTGATAAATGATGTGTTGAAATGTAGAAGAAGATTTAACAGGTTCAATTTCGTAGCTTAAATTGTAAATCTTCAAATATCCCCTGAGAATTGCAAAATTGAAATGTGATTTAGAGATCTGGGAAAATCGAAACATTCCACAAAATTATTAGAATTGACCAGGAACTTTCCTTGGGAATTATTTTTAATATCTAATGAAGTTTTTGTAGATTTTTTAAATAAGTTTCCTCCCTCTCCTTCTGAAAGGAAAGTGTTATTGAGGAAAAAATATTTCTAATTTACAATCTGTTCTTGATAACACAACCACTTTTGGGAGTCACAATTAGGTACCAGAAGGTCCCCAAATGGCCACTATGCCAAGGATCAATCATCACTGCACAACATACTGTCTTATAACCTATACAATTTAATATTACAAATTTGTGATTCTAGCCCTATGCAGTGGCAGCAAATGACTCTTAATAATAGGTTAGCATGAAATTTGCATTAAGAAAAGGGACAAACCTAGTTATGCTACTATGTTAAATCTACCTTCTTGTTTCAAGAGAAGAAAATTCATAGTGTTTGCAGTCTAGCATACAGAAGAGCCTACATTACCAGAGTCCAGAGCAGGTGCTGAGAACTGCAACAGATTCTGGGACATCCTCCACATATCCAGAGTAGTAGCAATCATCCTGCAAAGCCCAAAAATTGTTTTTCTTTTCCAACATTAACATTACTAAAATAAAATACCAGATACTAGTTACACAAAATTAAATATACACTATGCAGTGAGGAAGCCTCCAACTAGCATTACCAGACAATCCCTATCCTGGAACCCACAGGGAAAAAGGGGAAGAGGAAGGCCAAAGAATATTTGGAGAAGAGACCTACCTGGATGTGACCGTGAGGAAAACAGGCAAAAGCTGGAGAGAATTAGAAAAGGTGGCACAAGACAGAGAGGCTTGGAAAGAAATTGTTGATGGCCTATGTTCACTTAGGAGCTAAGGACAAAGAAGAAGAAGATGCAATGGCTATCTTTGCATCCGATTTTAAAATATGGTTCTAATATGAAAACCGACTGTATAAATGATACCTTTTCACTCAGCAGATCTGTTCTGAGCAATCAGATCTGCTGACTTAGAAGTCAAAACCAAATGTTGTTGCTTTTCACACATATCAATAGTGTAGAGATAATGTAGCCAAAACTGACTGGCTATGTCTACACTGCAGGCTTATTGCACAAGAATAGCCGTTCTTGCACAAAAACTTGTGGAGCGTCCATACTACAAGTCCATTTTTGCGCAAGAAAGTTTACAGTAGATCGTCAGAAGAGAGGGCTTTTTGCGCAAGAGTTATTCCTCTCCCCATGAGGAATAAGCCTTTTTGCTCAAGAGCTCTTGCGCAAAAAGGCTAGTGTGGTCAGGAACAGGCTAAAATGTGGCTAAAATGTGGCTAAAATGGCAATCAGAACTTTCTTGCCCAAAAGAGCAGCCACACTGCCATGGACGCTCTTGGAGTAAAAGTGCAAAAGAAACCTTGCGCAAAAAGTTATTGCGCAAGAAGCCTGCAGTGTAGACATAGCCATTGAGTTTCAAAGAGAAGTTCTTAAATATTGCATCTTACACACAATGAATTACTATTCACACTTCTGGTACCTTACTTTCAACAGCTTGTTGAAGGCTTATTACCAGAAAAGGAGGCCTACTGGAAATTACATGAATTTTCCTAATACAATTATGTCCAGGGAAAGTGAAGGAGGGTTGAAACAGACTCAATTTAACTATGTAATCTTGGCTTCACTTGCTTCTTCAAATGTTTATGAAAGAGTACTGGTTTACATGAAAATCTTACATTATCTGTAACAAGCTTTTGATATATTAGGGATGCATCCATTGTGATGGTGATTGTCAGAGGGTCTTGTTGTAATGGAACTCCTTTGCATATATATAGCGGGTAAGTCCTCCACAGGAGTGAGTCGAGTCCTTGAGTATAGAAGGCACTGTGAAGTACTTAAGGAGTTTGTGCCACTTAGATTTGTATACCAAAGCTAGCCAGCTTTGAAGCCATCTCATATGCTGGCAGGCATTGAGGATGACAAAGATGGAGGCAGCCATGTATCATGGTAGCTGGAGGCAGTCACAAGCTGTGACCTGTGGGCTGATTCAAATCGTGCATAGAATCATAGAATATTAGAATTGGAAGGGACCCCGAGAAGTCATCAAATCCAGTCCTCTGCCCTCATTGCAGGGCCCAACTGAATTCTCTCCAGAACCCAACTGTCTGAAGTGAAAGTTTCCCAGTTATGTAAGAATGATCATAAACAGAAGGTGAAGGATGGGCTGGTCACTGTAAGCACTAGGGAGGATAGATTGTTTTCAATTATCTTGACCAATGCCTGACATTTGCTTACTGAAGGCTGTGGATTGGGTCGCCCCAGAAGATGGAGGGTGAAGTCTTTGGAAACTGGGTCTCTGGTGATGTTGGTGGTGAGTACTGTACTACTGTAGCTGTCCTTGCTGTGAATAGTCAGGGTATAGCTGTCATTGGTATGGTTGATACCTGTATTGTTTCTTCTTTGTCATAGGAGTTTGTATACCTATGGATTCCAGGGTTGCTCGATGGTCCTTCATAGAGCGGAGGACCTCATTGGTGTTGGCTGCAAAGCATTTGTGACCATCAAATGGAATATCCGTTATTGTAGTCTGGATTTCACTTGGGAAGAAGAATGCCTGTTGCAGGATGAGCGTCTGTGACCATGGATCCAGTGGCCATGTCCATAACATCTAGTGGAGCTTGGAGCACTGTGCAGGACATTAATTGTGCTTCAGAAACCAGTGCCTAAAACTATTGTTTCTTGCCTTGAGGCATGTTATCAATAAAAGTTTGTGTTTTGGAGTAGTTTCAGTGGTTGTATTTCATTAATAGCCCAGCATAATTCACCACCCTGAATTGCAAGATGCAGAAGGATTATAGTTATGCCCAAAGATATCTATCCTTTTGTATTTCTGTCAGATGGAGTGGTCTTGAATTGTTTTTCTGGTTAGCTGTTTCCACTACTAGCTATTTGGGAGCAGGATGTGTAAAGAGGAATTCAGTGTCCTTGGAGGTGACAAAGTATTTTCCAGTCCATTTACTTGCTCCTGGGTGTGATGGAGTTAGATGCCTGCCATACTGCCATACTGCTTGCACAGGCTGTAAGATGGGTGCATTAAAGAGGAGTGCTATTTTGGAGATTGTCATAGCTTGCAATATTTGTGATTATTCAAGACTTCCTTCATCATAATATTGAGGTTGTCCACCACTTTCTTAAAGAGGCCCTGGCAGTGGGTGAGTTCATCCATAGTTTTAAATGTGGAGGGAAGAATGGCTTATTGGGATAAGGGGGTGCCCTAGTAGCTGTGGGAGAATTATCACCTGCAGTTTCTGTTTGTATGTCTGATATAGGCTCAGTATTAAAGTCCACCTCCACCTGAGGGATTGATACATAAGAATGTTTGTGTGTGGGGGAGTTATTTGCAGTGTGCTGAGCTTGTGTTTGTCTGTTTGGTTTGTTTGTTTGTTTGCTTTGTTTGTTTGAAGGAGCTTCTAAAAGGTTTGAAATCTAGAAGCCTCTGTTAATTGGCTGAGCCTCAGTCAAGGGGAGGAGCTACCAGAGCTATATAAGCCTGTGACTCAGCAACCAGGGAGAGCGCGACCAGGAACAGCTAACAGGAGAGTTTGGAGACGGAGTTTAGAGGGCACTAGTGACTTCTGACCTTCTTTAAAACACAACTCTTAGAATAATCTATACTCCAGAGGTTTAAAAAGAATCCCAGTTTATACTTAAACTTATTCATTAGAAAAATGGAGATGGAAGCCCAGCAGCAGAGTGGGGGCTATCCTGTTTATTGCGTCAAGTGTAACATGTATGATTACCTGCCCTGTGGGTGGATGGCGTATGTGTGCACCCGTTGCAAGGAGCTCCTGACCCTCAGAGACCGAGTTCGGGCTTTGGAGGCCAGGGTGGCTGAACTGGAGGAGCTAAGGGAGGTAGAGAGCTTTGTTGATGAGACTTTCCGGGATACTGTAGTATTGTCCCACCTCCAGTCTGAGAGCCCCAGTGCTCTTAAGGAGGATGAGAGTCTCAAGGGAACAGAGCATTTAATGGGAGCAGAGGGAAACCATCCCATAGTTGGGACCCTCCTCCCAGAGGATGTTGCGGTATCCTCTCGCACTGAGGATACCTCTGAGGGGGAGGGAATGCCAGTTAGGAAGAGGCAGGTGTTAGTAGTGGGTGATTCGATAGTTAGAAACATAGATAGTTGGGTTTGTGATGACCGGGAGAACTGTATGGTCACTTGCCTGCCTGGTGCGAAGCTTGCGGATCTCTCGAGGCATCTAGATAGACTTATGTGTAGTGCTGGGGAGGAGCCGGTAGTCGTGGTACATGTAGGTACCAATGACATAGGGAAGGGTAGGAGAGATGTCCTGGAGGCCAAATTTAGGCTGCTAGGAAAGAGACTGAAATCCAGGACCTCTATGGTGGCATTCTCGGAAATGCTTCCAGTTCCACGCGCAGGGCCAGGTAGGCAGGCAGAGCTTCAGAGTCTCAATGCGTGGATGAGACGATGGTTTAGGGAAGAGGGGTTTGGATTTATTAGGAACTGGGGACACTTTTGGGAGAGGGGGAGCCTATACAGGAAGGATGGGCTCCACCTAAACCAGGGTGGAACCAGACTGCTGGCACTAAACATTAAAAAGGCCGTAGAGCAGTTTTTAAACTAAGAGAAGCCAATTGGTGTGGAGATGCACATAAATCGGATGGAGACTTCTCTTAGAGGAGAATCCATTGATAGAGATTCTCTAAGCTGTAGTCAGAAAGAGAGGAGGGGAGAGGACAAACCATGGGCCAGAGCAGACAAACAACTGCATATAAAGGAATCCAATGCATCAGGGAAGGGCAGACAAATAAACAGTGGCAAATTTTCAAGTGCTTCTGCACAAATGCTAGGAGTCTGACTAATAAGATGGGTGAACTAGGGTACCTCGTATTAAAGAAGGAAATTGACATAATAGGCATCACTGAAACCTGGTGGAATGAGGAAAATCAGTGGGACACAATCATACTGGGATATAGAATATATCTGAAGGATAGATCAGGCCGGGTGGGTGGTGGAGTGGCACTGTACGTGAAAGATAATGTAGAATCAAATGAAATAAAAATAGTAAGTGAATCAACATGTTCAATAGAATCGCTATGGATAGTAATTCCATGTTCCAATAATAAGAAATTAGCAGTAGGGATATATTACCGACCACCTGACCAGGACAGCGATACTGACATTGAAATGCTGAGGGAGATTAGAGAGGCTACCAAAATAAAGAACTCTATAATAATGGGGGATTTTAATTACCCCCATATTGACTGGATACATGTCACCTCAGGAAGAGAAGCGGAGATAAAATTTCTCAAAGGCTTAAATGACTGCTTCTTGGAGCAGCTAGTGCAGGAACCCATAAGGGGAGAGGCAATTCTCGATTTAGTCCTGAGTGGAGTGCAGGATCAGGTCCAGGATATAACCGTTACTGGACCGCTTGGGAATAGTGACCATAATATAATAACATTCAACATTCCTGTGGTGGGAAGAACACCTCAGCAGTCCAAAAAGGGGAATTACACAAAAATGAGGAGGTTAGTTAAACAGAAATTAAAAGGCACAGTGACTAGAGCAAAGTCCCTGAAAGCTGCATGGAAACTTTTTAAAGACACCATAATAGAGGCCCAACTTAAATGTATACCCAAAATTAAAAAACATAGCAAGAGACCTAAAACAGTGTCACTGTGGCTAAACCACCATATAAAAGAAGCAGTGAGGGACAAAAAGGTATCTTTTAAGAAGTGGAAGTCAAATCCTAGTGAGATAAATAGAAAAGAACATAAACACTGTCAAATCAAGTGTAAAAATGTAATAAGAAAAGCAAAAAAAGATTATGAGGAACAGCTAGCTAAAAACTCAAAAAGAAATAACAAAATGTTCTTTTAAGTACATTAGAAGCAGGAAGCCTGCTAAAAAACCTGAGGGTCCCCTACATGATCGAGCTATAAAAGGATCAATCAAGGACGATAAAGCCATTGCGGAGAAACTAAATGATTTCTTTGCTTCAGTCTTCACGAATGAGGATGTTGGGGAGATTCCTGAATCTGCACCGTCCTTTGTGGGTGATAAATCTGAGGAACTGTCCCGGACTGAAGTGTCATTAGAGGAGGTTTTGGAACAAATAGAAAAACTTAATGTTAACAAATCTCCAGGACCGGATGGCATTCATCCAAGGGTTCTAAAAGAACTCAAATGGGAAATTGCTGAGCTATTATCGGTAGTTTGTAACCTATCCTTTAAATCGGCTTCCATACCTAATGACTGGAAGGTAGCCAACGTGACACCAATATTTAAAAAGGGCTCTAGAGGCGATCCTGGCAATTACAGACCGGTAAGTCTAACTTCAGTACCGGGCAAATTAGTAGAAACAATAGTGAAGAATAAAATTGTGAAGCAAGTAGAAGAACATAATTTGTTGGACAAAAGTCAACATGGCTTCT